GACTACCCAAGGCGTAGATTTTTCAAGGACTACCCAAGGCGTGGATTTTTTAAAGTAGATTTTTCAAGGACTACCCAAGGCGTGGATTTTTTAAAGTAGATTTTTCAAGGACTACCCAAGGCGTGGATTTTTTAAAGTAGATTTTTCAAGGACTACCCAAGGCGTGGATTTTTTAAAGTAGATTTTTCAAGGACTACCCAAGGCGTGGATTTTTTAAAGTAGATTTTTCAAGGACTACCCAAGGCGTGGATTTTTTAAAGTAGATTTTTCAAGGGTCAATATAGGAGGAGATTTTGAAGAAATAAAAAAAAACATATTTCTTAAAGCTCGGATATGGAAAATTTTTAATAGATACTTTTAAATAAAAATCGTATAAAAATGTTATTTTTTTCTTGCAGGCATCATAAAATAATTTCGGGCAAAGAGAAATTAAATTGCTTAATTAAAGATCGAAGTCAAAAGATCCCTGTGTGAAACTGCGCCACAATGACAAAAGTCGAATTATATAAATCACGGGTATTCGTTACCATCATTCACCTGTTGGCCTTGGGCCAATTTGTGTATGCCCTGTATTTCCATAAATTCGAGCAGCAACGGAGCTACAAATCGAAGCCAACGGAAGTGCAAAAAATGGTACCCGATACCATGGAGAAGAAACTGCAATATTTGACATATTGGAATTTGGTAAGTAATTTAAAAAAAATTAAATTTTAAAATATTTAAAAAAAAATCAATTACAAAAATTATGAAAGGAAAGTTTTACTTCCTGAAAACATATTTCCTTTATATCGATTCAAATTTCCTTAAATTGAAAACAATAAAAAATCAGATGGCAATGATTTCAATAACCAACCACACCACACAATGCGAACATAGGGGGCATCAAACTCTGCAATGATGTTTCCCACATGCTGTTGTGAAAAAATTACTTTGGTGATAAAAGTATTGCTCGGAAAATGCGTGTTCAAACGATTGAAATGAAATACTATATATTAATATATGTATATATGGACAATGGAATGGATCGAAAAGTAGGCATTAAAGACATTCAAGAGAACTTCTACATATCTTGAAAATACGATAAATATTAAAAGAAGGTCATATAGAGGTCTTTACAAATTTTTTAAAGACATTTTTAAAAGAATTTCAATTTTTTCCAATAGAAGACCTTAAAATTGTAGGTTATAATAAGGAACATTTTTCAACACTCTGCTTGACATATCTATTTTTTGTTTTCTTGTTGAAAGTAAAATATTTTCCTTTTTCACTTTCTATTTATGTGGTGGTTGGTTGGTAGGCGCATATTTTATTTCATTTTCTTTTTTGTGGCTCGTTTCGCCTTTTTGTCCAGATATGGGTCAATGCTTTTGCTGAAAAACAGAAAAATATTTTATTACTTCTGTGTTCTTTTCGCCATCAATTAATTAAATGAGTTTAATTATTGTTGTAGTAGCTGCTGTTGTTGTTATTATTAATAAAGTTTTTTTGTTCTGTTTATTTCCTGACAAATGCAGGTCGGTAATTTTCAATTCTTTATGGATTTTTTTTGGAAATTTGTTCTGCAATTTTTATGAAGGCTTATTTTTTTGGTCTTCCTTGAAAATATTTTTAATTGTGGTAATAAATGTCGAAATTAATGTTTATGAAGAGGTGTAATTTACAATGAATACATAAATATTTATGTTAATGGGAACACCAAAAGAATTACAAATATTTTTATAAGGCCTGATCAGGGCCCAACAAAGGTGGGCATTTTTAAAGAATATTTTTTTCAAGGACCTATACAAGGCGTGGATTTTTTTAAAGAATATATTTTGCAAGTAGTGAAACAAACAGATCGCCTTGATCCTCAATTTTTTAAAAACCCTATTAGAGTAACTTCTGGTAATGTGGACCATGCGTCAAATGTGGACCACCCCTCATATCTAAGAAAATGCTTGAAATAAGTCAATGCCGCCTTGGTAAATGTTTTTTTAGTGAAAACAAACATCAAACTTGGTTTTTAATAAATAATTGCAATGTTGAAAATTTAGTAGGTGAAAATGTAGCTCTGATTGTAAAAGTGTGATTTAAAAATTTTAAAGCACAATACACCTTTTTCACATGTTATTCAAAACATATCAAATGTAATTCGAGAATTCCATTTGCAATTCACAACATATAAGTTGTAATTCGAGAATTTCATTTGTAATTCCTAGAATACCTTTCGAAATTCATAGAATTCCATTTGAAGTTCATAAACTTCCATTTGAAATTCCAAGTATTGCGTTTGAAATTAATAAAATTCCACTTGAAATTAATAAAATTTCAATTTGAAATTTAAATAATTCCATTTTAAATTCTTAACATTTGATTTGAAATACATAACATTCCATTTGTTTTTCATAACATTTAATTTTAAATTCGAAAAATATTATTGGTAACAACAAAAGGAATATGTATGAATTTGAAATGAATTGTTAAGAATTACAACTGAAAATTTATGATTTACAATTGAAATGTAATGAATTTCAAATTTGATTCTTTGAATTTCAAATGGATTTCTTTTAATTTCAAATTAAACTCTACGAAATTCAAATTGAAATATTCGAATTACAAATGAAATTTTTTAAATTTCAAATGGAATTTTTTGAATGTCATACGAAAAGTTTAAAATTACAAATGAAACGTTGTGAATTACAAATTACATACTCGAATTACAAGTGAAATGTTATGAATTGCAAATTGAGTTTTCGAATTACGAATGAAATTCTCGAATTGCAATTGAAATGTGTTGAATAACATTTGAAAAAGGTGTAGTCGAACGATTTTGTAAAATAGTCGAACATTTTGTTTTTATCGAATATAAAGAGGTTATGTGGTTTTCTTGTTTTCTTTAACAAAAATACACGTTTATCTGTAATCACAATCGGTTATTTTTAAATTTTTATTCATTTTTGAAGCCGATAATTTAAATAAAAATATTCAATGTCGGGTAATGTGGACCACTATAAAAAAGTGGGACATTTTCATGAGGACGAGTTCGAAACAAAGACGTATTTAATATGTGAGGAGGTATTCTATCCTCTGAAAACTTTATATCCGAAATTATAGGTGCCTCGGTTGGCACCTAGGACCTTCAAAATACCGCAAATGGGGTGGTACTCTTAAATGGGGGCTATTCCAAAACATGGACCCATATATTTTTGCATTCATTGTTACCCAAGAGTCCAATAAATTGAAATTTATCACAATTAATCCACAACCTACCTTTAACTTACTGATCCTCATTACCCACAAATACTGGTCCACATTACCCGCCAAGTTATTTTTATTTGCAGTTTAGAGTTTTTTGAAATATAATGCAATAACATTTTTATGGACAAATATATATAATTTTTGACCTGGAATATAATTAGCCAACAAATCTACCATGTTGTGAAAACAATTTGTTTTTATTTTTTACCTTTGTTACGCCCACAACATAAAAAAAAGAAAATGGTGGTCCACATTACCCGAAGTTACTCTACCCAAACTTAAACCAATAAATCTGTAAATTGAAGATGTAGGCTATATGTTTGTTTCTCTGCTTGTAGAAGTGATTGGAGATAGGTGGATCCCGATTTTGGTCCTTTTTGGAGATGGGAGGACACCGATGACTTACAGCTCCAAATCGATGAGGTCGTCATCTGTGTCCATAGGCATGGTACTCACGAACAGCATGATGGCCGTGCGGCCGTCAAAATCCTCCGACCTCTGATGGGGTTGTTGTTGTTGTTCGATCTCTGAGGGGGTTGTTGTTGTTCGACCTCTGAGGGGAGGTTGTTAGGCCTCTGTGGCGGGTTGTTTTTTTTTTTTGGTCTTCTATAATGTGCAGATATCACATAATTCTTCTTGGAAGACCCCCTGCACATCTTTAATAATCAGAATAACTCCCACAGAACTTCTATAATCTAAAGATCTTCTACATGTATTTTAATGTTCTCTTACATGCCTTCCGTAATAGAAATACTTCAAATATGTTTTTTTAAAATTTTAAGACCTGTAGTCTTCTTTGCTTTGAAGACCTTCTACAATTCTTCTTCTGTGAAGACCTACAATTTGAGGACCTCCTACCGGTCTTCCTTAATATTAAGACCTTTTTCCACAATTAAACACCTTCTACAGGGGTTCTATACTTGAACACCTTCTACAGGTATTTTTAAATGGAAGACCCCTTACAGGTCTTCTATAATTGGAAGAGCTTCGACTAGTCTTCTACAGTGCGACGGTCTTGTGTTTTTTTAAGGTCTGTCACAGGCGTGGATTTTTATTACAAAAGAATATTTTGTCAAGGCCCAAAAATCCCTCCTCATCAGGATGTATTTTACAGGTGGTTCATTGTCAGAATCTGGCGATCAACTTCATTTCTTACACAGAAAACTTATAGAGTTCGTATACAGTCAGAAGGCTGAACTTCAATGCAAACTCTATCTAGAATATCTTGATAGGTTTGCTACGAGAAAAGTTTTTTATAATACTTTCTAGAGGCCTCTTTAGCCTGAGCAATTTCCACAATAGGCAGATCATCATTCAAAGATATTCTATAGGTCTCTCTGGAAGGTCTTTACAGACAGAAGTACTTATGTAGGCGATTTAAATCTGGGAGGTATTTTATAGACAAAATGGTCTTAAGAGATTTTACACAATTTCAAGGCCTTTTAGATAGACCTCCTTTTGATATTCTATTTTTTAAGAACTCCTACAGAAGGTCCATTTGTATTAAAATTAAAATCCAAATAAACAAAGATTGTATTATGAGGAACAACAAGTTGATAAATTGCAAACACATCGAAGAATACGATAACAAAACCAGACGCCCCCTAATTACAACAATTCATTCATTCCTGCAATCCGACAAGCCACAAATCATTTCGAATCAGACATCAGTTGAAATATCAAATCGGTGACGAACAAACATGCTGCGATATTTACGCCCAGCAATTTATTTATTTCTCTGCCAAACACTTCTCCATCCGGCAATGGCCACTAAATGGCTAATGGATAGTCCAGGATTTAATGATCCTGCAGCATGGATAGATGATTACTTACCATGTAGTCGAGAACGGGCAATATTTCCCGAAAAATATGAAGCTTTGCTGCCACTGCCAGCCAAGGTGGATGTTGGAGGCTTTGTGCTGCCCAAAGATGGAGCCATCTTTTTGCAAATGGAATCGACAATTACCCTAGAAGGAAATGATAATAAACGTGATTGTGATAAAGGTAAAGCTGTGTTAAAACAACCTACGGTACGCAAATGGTTTGATCCGAAAACATGGCGTTCTTCAAAGGATGTAGTGGCGAATGCTGCCATACCCGATATGGAAAGGGTACCGTGTAATAATGAATCGGTAGTAATTCGAGCCAATGGTCCCTTGGCATTGGATTTGGAAAATATTGCCTATTTGCGCATGGGGCAAATGAGTTTTGCCGGATCTCTGCTGTCTCGAGATTATTTACGCCAATTGCTGTACAATGATTTGGGTCAATTTCTTTTCCGCAATCAGGCCGGAGTAAATGTGGAATATTATCACCATGACGTGTGTGGCTGTCACAAAGATTTCAATAATTTCGGAGAACCCATTTGCCATAACATCATTGAGTCTTGTGAGCGACCCCATTGCCTGGTACCCGTTATGCCCTATGGCAGTTGTTGTGCCATTTGTGGTGCTGTCATTAAATTCCAGGTGGAATTTTGTGAAGATCGCCGCTACAATTGGTTGCAAACTATTTTACGGGAGGCCATTAAAGATCAGGATCTTCAGGGTGATCTGGATTACTATGTGAATTATGTTAATTCACAAAATTATGGCAATTATCTGCAAGCTGTCATCGTAGATCGTGATGGTTACTCGGAGAGGAGTGTCAAGTTCCTGGCAAAACTCAACGAAACCATTGATTGGGTGAGCCGACTGAAATTGGATAGAAAACATATTTTTGGTATTGAATATTCGGGGCGACCATATAATCCAAATGTTACCTTTGGTTCGATTTTATTGATATTCCTGTGTTTGATATTTGTTTCGGTGGTGGCCTTGGTCATCTTTGCCCATTACAATCCGGATAATCAGTATTTGCATTATGTACCACGTTGGGTGTATGATCCGAATAGATGGCGCAGTCTTTTCCAAAGACGTGATGCCGTATTTGCACGTTTTGATAACACGAGGGCCAGTGTTATTACCACTGCGGATGTGGGTGGCAGTGGTGGTGGTAGATCTGTAGCAAAAGGTTTTACGAGGAGTTATGGTGATGATGATGACGGTGATGCTGAAAGTGGTGATGTTCGCAGTAAACGTGCCTTTGATAATCCATTATTTGATGAAAAGCCCAGTACCAGTACATCAAAGGGGAAGAGTGATGGCTTGGCAATGGAGGTGGCCACCAGCAGCAGCGGCAGTTCAATCAAGGAAGTACCACAATTGCTAATGGAAAGTGTTGATATGTCGGACACCAATATTGAGACCCACGATGATGATCATGAAGATGAACAGGAATTAACCGAAATTAAATTGGACACATCATCTGACGAGGAAGATACGAAGGAACAGGAAACTAAGGAATAAAAATAAATAATTAATATTTATATGAGTTAAATAATTAATAAAATATATATAGTTATAAAATATTTTCTTAAAAATTCCACGCCTATTGTAGACCTCAAAAAATATTTTTAAAAGTAACTCCACGCCTATTGTAGATCTCGAAAAAGTATTTAAAACATGTATATTTTTAATCGACTTCACCTTTGACCCTTTTGGAAAAATATTTTAAAAATAAAAATCCCCATTTACGTATTCAGTTCAAAATAATTATATGAATACGCAATGTGTGTCCTTTCATGCATAAATTCGTAATTTACATTAAAAATGTATCAATTTCAAATTGGAAATAGTTTTACGCACGTGGAGACCTCGTACCACCCCCAAAAAAGGAAAGGGTCGATAGAAAAAAAAACGGAAAAACTATTATTACTCTATAAATATGGAAACATGTTAATGACCGCATGGCAGTAGTTAAGTGGTTAGGGGGAGAAATTGTAACCAAATGATAGTTGATTGAAGTGAATAGAGGTCAAAGGGTGGTGGTGTTAATTTGGTGGTAGTGGGTGGGTGGTCCGTAATTATTGGTTTCCTTAGTTATATTTTATATCAAAAAATAGGAAATGTAAAAAATGGAAAGTTAGATATTTGACACAGTTCGGTTTTAAAATTGTTCGCTGTCTATTCTTTTATTTAGGAAGGTTCTGAGGATCAAAAAAATTTTTTCAGAGTATTTCAAGAAAGAAAAAGTGATTTAGAATTATGATCACAGTACGATATCACACTTGGGATCCTCTTTTTGCAAATGCTGAAAGTATTGAACCCTGTATAGGCTTGTTTCATAGAGATTTGGAAAGCAAGAAGTAGGATGTAACCTCCCGCGTCCTTGAGAACCCGCAAAAAAAAATTAATCCACGCCTTTTTGAGAACGTACAAAAATATATTTTTTTAAATACACGCCTCCTTGAGAACGTTCAATTTTTTTTAATCCACTCCTCTTTGGGAATCTTCAATTTCTTTATCCATGCCTCCTTGAGAACCTCGAAAAATATTTTTTTAATTCACGCCTCCTTGAGAACCCCTGAAAAATAATTTTTAAAAAATCTACGCCTCCTTGAGAACCCCCATACAAATAACTTTTTAAAAATTCACGCCAATGTCACTGATGGCTATTCCATGGTCATCTGGTAACAACCGTTTCTTTAGCAGCAGATTTCGAAGGTTGCGGTAACGACTCAATTCCTTATTTATCAGGTACAAAAGTCGCCTTTGGATATGGTCCGGAAGGTTTATGTGAAAACTTGTCTGACTTTCGTCTTCCCACTACCCTTTCTGACCACTGCTGAAACAGCGAGACCTCGGCCCGCTGTTTTCGTCAACAAAGGCTTATTTGCGATTGGTTGATTTTTCTCCGTTGATCTCATCCTCTTCATTACTATAGGCATTGAGCACGATTGGATTTCTGTTAGAACAGGTTCCACCTTAGTCGCCAATGCAGCGCTGACCCAACTCTTCTCTTTGGTCGCGTGTTCGCCCCATTTCATGATCCTATACAGAGGTATCCACGGTATACAAGGTAGGAATTCGGTCGATCGGAAATTCCGAGAGAATTCTGGCCAGATGATTTTTGAAATCGTGCATCCAGTTTTAGATGACCATCTGTTGCCGACTACCTTACAGTAGCCCACACGAAATTTTCCAATAAAGTAACCAATGGACGGTTGTACAGATCCCAATCGAGAAATTGGACGACTGTGAACCCTCTCGAGCAAGCTCATCGGCTATCTCATTCCCTTCAATGTTGATATGTCCTGGAACCCAACATAATTTAACCATCCTTTGTATATCATGAAGAGCATCCTTGCAATTACGAACCGGGTTTAAATTAACAGTCCACTACTTTAATGCCTTAAGGGCCGCGTGACTATCGACACATATAGTCACCGGTCCTATGTTGTCGGCAGTAAGTGTTTTAACTATCTCAACCGCTTTTGTGATTCCAAGGATTTCTGCCAGAAAAACGATTTCTGCAAAGATCGTTAACTTTATATGAGTTATATATTGCTAGTTCCCTGCAGTAAAAGCCTGCACCAATACCTTCCTCTTGTGAGGATAGTTCTCTCATTAATTTTGTGGGAATGGATCTAGGTCCTTATCTATGTATCGTTAGCAATAACAAATTGCCCTTCGATACGCCTATACATCGCTTATTTTGGCTTGACACATCTGGGTGCAAGAACCGTCCCTTCAGTAGTGGTTTGCCTCAGGAGTGATGGTCAGTCGACTGAAAGCAACGTTTCTAAAATGGGTTTGGCTTTGGAGGAGCCCACACTCACAGTTGACATATTTAAATTCCCTTGTCGATTCGAGCGTAGAGTTTCAGTGACATCAGCATCATTCTCCTCGTCTGACATTGGGGTATTAGCCCATATATCAGATGGAATGCTCTCCTGGCTCAGAAGTACGATTTATCGGGTCAAATTTTCATTTATGTCGCCCAAGATTGTTGCAAATCTGTCCGCTACCGCAGCTTGAGTCCGTTGCGACATTCGCCCGTGTCCGAATCCGAGTATTTGCGCTTGTGATATTTGAGACTGCGGTTGCCTAGGTAACCACCCCGACATCAGTCGAAGAATTTGTTTTGTTTTTTGGAGGTTAAAAAGATTTGACTGACCGCGATTGTTGATTCAATTCACAGCTATCCAAACCACAGTATTTTTGCTTTTCATTATCCACAACCTGTGGACCCGTCCGATAGCATGTTTCCGATCGCAGGTATAAGCTTAAATAGAACTGTTTCTGTGTTTTTTTATTAGATTTTGCTTGCGATCGGTGAAAAATCTTACTAATATATCCTCTATGATGATAGGACCCGACACCATGATCTTACAATCATCTGCAAACGTAATGATTTAAATTCCGTTTGCCGGCCGTGGTAAGCTAGAGGTGTATTTGCTTCACTTGTTATTCCGGAACTTCACGTAAGGCTAGTGTTCACACATATAATTGATTATACAAAGTTTCAAACAGTCTGGTATGATTGGCGGTATCAAAGGCATTTGATAGGTCAAGTGCCACTGTTCAATGGCAGGACATATGCTGATTTAGTCCTCGACTTATATGTGTTGAGATGAAGTGTAACACTGTCCGAATGATTTTGTTGACAAAAAAACTTTTTGAAAGCCAATTTTCAATATAGGTCCATGATTATACATAACTCTACCTCTTAGCCAAATGTTCCAAACTGTAATTGGAAAATATCGGTTCAGATTTAGATATAGCTCCCATATATAGTTTCGTCCGATTTTAGGTAAATAGTGCACCAAAGTCCCTATATATCTTCCGATTTGCACGAAGTTTGGCATAGCGTACTAAATTATGTCTAGAGTGATGTGTGTTAAGTTTCGTGAAAATCGGTTGAGTTTTTGATATAACTCCCATATATATTTTCGTCCGATTTTATGTAAATAGTGCACCAAAGTCCCTATATTTCCTTCGATTTGTACGAAATTTGGCATATCGTACTGAATTGAATCTAGAATAATGTGCGGTAAGTTTCGGAAAAATCGGCTGAGTTTTCGATATAGCTCCAACATATACATATATATTCGTCCAATTTTACATTAGTGGTGCACCAATCTCCGAATGTTTGTCCGATCAACGCGAAATTTTGCACAACGGTTAAAATTGGTGCAGATGCAGCCATACCTTCCATATGTATTTCGAACGGGCGTCTGATTGAAATTAAATTTTTAGCAGTGCGGTGTATCGAATAGCGTGTACCAATTTTACTATAAATCGTTTCAAATAAATTTGTCCCTTGGTCTAAAACTGCCCGAATGAGGATAAATTTATCATAGGTTGCAGAAAGGCATCAGTATGTTCCTTCGAGTGAACATTGACATGCAATTGTAAGGATACATATGTACAATATACCCAAAGTGGTGAAAGGTATCATATAGTCGGCCCAGTCCGACTTTACTACTTTTGTTATTTTTGTTGTTATTTTATTGTCCCCCCCACCTTTATCTCTCACATTAAAAAAATAATATCAAATCATTTTTTACGCCTAGCAATCCAATAATCTACCGAATAAAAACAACAACAACAATACAATCATTTTAGGTTATCTCCTACTGATAAGAACCTGATGAAAAAATGACTCAAATTTAATTTGAATTAACTGTCATATTAAAAGGCTCTTAAAAAGGTTAGCTCCATTATCTCACTGGCCACCACATCCGTTAAACCAAAAAATGATAACAACAAAACAAATCACAAAAATCCCATTTGCGAAACCAAAAACGCATCACGAGAACCCTAAACAATTTTTTGCATGTTTCTCTCAATCACTTTTTTCTCTCCCGTTCTCTCTCCAATGGTTCAGAATTGTTGTTGACAGCCAGTAGTAGTCAAGTCAAAAAGAATTGATTAGTTTTTTAAAAGAAAAAAGAATGAAAAAGTCGTTGTTTTAGTCGTGTGCGGTGAGGTCCGGTCGGTCAGTTTGTTTTCGCAGATACGGCGGATAAATTTTAACAAAAAGAAAATAACTAACAATAACAATGGCAAAAAGTAAAGGAACTACTGTTGCCGAAACGGCATACCATGGAATCTATGGTACATTGCGTGTATTGGTCCATCTAACTGCGGCCGTACAATTTGGTTATGCCGTCTATTACGATTACACCTATGTCCATTTTCCACAATCGTCGAATATTATGCACAATCCATTTGGTGGCAAATTTAAATATTTAACATTTTTGGATGCGGTAAGGAAAAGAACAACAGAAACAACAAAAACAACTATTATCTATTTTTCTTTGCATTCGGGGTGAAAGTTCACAATGAAAGTTGTATTTAATTCGCTCGTTATCTATCTTCCTTCACATATTATGACAGTTCGGAATTGTTGTTGTTGCTATGTTTGTCGCTGTGTGCTGTTTTGCCAAGAGAATGATGTAAAAGTTTACAGTAAAACAAAGGGCGAGTGACAGGGAGAGAGAGAATCATTTTAAGATTTTTGTTTATTATGCGAAAAGAAAGAAAGAAGAAGATATTAGAACAGGGTTGCCATTGTGGACAGGCGGTCCTGTGTTGCTAATTTTTAATTTGTATGAAATAGAAAGTGATGGTTAATGCGATTTACTTTCAATAATATTTGAAAACTTCCGGAACATTTATGCGCATCTAATGGTGTTTTTACACGATATGTATTTTACATATGTGCTGTCACTTTTTTACATATGGAAATCGAACTCGTCATGTGAAACATACGGAAATTTCAATGTGTCAAAACGATATGCAATTACATATGTATTTTTTCTGAATCGGACGCGCTCTAATTTCGTATGTGAAACATAAAGAAATCAGCTGTTTGAATGAAAGACATTGTTGGAAGAAAATATTTCCATTGCAAGTCAAAGAAAAGAATGAAAAGGCAACGATTTATTATTTCGTTTGTAGGTGTTTAATAAAAAAAGATGTTGGTCCTGATTTATATTAGGCGAGTTTACTTGCGGCAATTTTCATCGTTCTCTTTTTAACTTGCTCCATGTGTCTATACAAGGCAATTTGGTTTCCAAAATATTTTTTTATTTGTTGTTTTTTCACATTTAAATATATATAAAATGTCAACAAATACGAAATACACAAAACGAATTGCCAGAAAATTGTCGGTACGAGCAATTTTTTTTTCATTTCTATACCCCTTGCCCCTCTCTCCTACAAACAAAGACTTGCCGCAAGTAAACTCGCCTAATCTAAATCAAGACTTGATTAAAGAAAAAAATAAAAGTGTTTTTTTGTTTATAGGTTATGTCATATGTAAAATACATATGTAAATTTGAACACAAAAAATGAATGTTTTGTGTACGCTGCTAATTTTGACACACATAAGGAATTACATATGGATGAAAAAGTGACAGCACATATGTAAAATACATATCATGTAAAAACACCATAAGATGCCGTCATTCACCCAGACCTCAGATAGTCGCTGCGAAATTATTTAAAATAAATCACTGGAAATATATTTAAAACAATTCGACGGCTTAACTCTAGTCGCTGCAAAATTATTAAAAAAATCACTGGAAATATATTTAAAAATATTCAACGGCTTAACTCTAGTTTAGTTAAAACGATCAGATTTTTTTGATTTTTTTTTTCCAGAATTATATATTTTTATCCTAATTATGGGGATATTTTTTTTTTTTTTTTTTTTTTTTGGGGACGTACCGGGCTATTTTTCCTGGAAGTTCGGATACGCGTAACCGGTTATATTCGATTCTACGGATGCGGTTAATATAAAATGGGTATCATTTTGAAGGTTATAAAAATATCGGCTACGCGACAGAATCTCTTGTTAAATAGAATGGTTGTTTTGGGTGACATAGAAGGGAACGAGATAGCCGACGAGCTTGATCGAGGGGGCTCACAATCGTCCAATCTTCCGATTGGGAGATCTGTGCAACCACCAGTTGGCTATTTCATTGGCAAAATCCCCTTGTTCTACGGCGAGGTAGTCGGTAACAGATGGTCGAGAGAACCTGGTTGTAGAATCTCAAAAGCTATCTGGCCTGAATTCTCTCGCCGAAGAACTTCTTGGCTGTTGGCTCATAATAAGAGAGAGAGAGAGATCAAAATCATAACAGGTCACTGCAAGATTAGATCTCTCACTTCGATGTGGGATTCCAGCGGAAAGGATTACTGTCGTCTATGTTAGGACGAAGAAGAGCTAGAAACAATTGAACCTATCCTCTGTAGATGTTCATCGCTGAGTGGCAGAAGAAACAGACAGTTCGGAAAATATAAAAATTGACAATCTAGAATCCTTATTTTGAACCTGGTTGTAGAATTTCAAAAGCTATCTGGCCTGAATTCTCTCGCCGAAAAACTTCTTGGCTGTTGGCTCATAATAAGAGAGAGATAGAAATCATAAAAGGTCACTGCAAGATTAGATCTCTCACTTCGAAATGGTATTCCAGCGGAGAGGATTACTGTCGTCTATGTGAGGACGAAGAAGAGCTAGAAACAATTGAACCTATCCTCTGTAGATGTCTATCGCTGAGTGGCGGAAGAAACAGACAGTTCGGAAAATATAAAAATTTACAATCTTGAATTCTTCTCTTGAATATACGCCAAAGCAGATCATAAGCTGTATTAAAATTTTGACTTGGCTAAAATAACCAGCTTTCTACACTCACAAAGAAAGAATAGATTTTCTTCATCAAAAAACGTAATACCTCTATCTAAATTGAATGGGGTGGCTTTGGAGCTCTCTTTATTTAATAATACATTTTAATAACTTTTTTCTTTCTATCTTTTTACAGATCATCCAAACGTTATATTTCACCATTTCATTGATAAATGATTTTGTTGGCAGCAATGAGGTTATGCCGAAGAAAACCCCCCTAATTCGTAAAATTAAAGATTACATGATGACAACATTTGCCTTTCCGATTGCTTTAAATGTTGGCATTACATTCTGGGGTCTATATGCCGTGGATCGTGAATTGGTCTTCCCACGTGTATTGGATGCCGTATTTCCAGGGTATGTGTTTTTGATATATATATTTTTTATCATCCTTTTCATGCTCTCTTCTTTTTATTCCAGCTGGTTAAATCACATTATGCACACAAATATTGTCGTTTTCATTGTCTTGGAAATGTTCATTTCGTTCCGTTCGTATCCATCCCGTTTCAAGGGTTTGGCTGGCCTTTCGGCCTTTATGTTGGCCTATTTGGTGTGGTTGCATGTAATTAAACACTATTCGGGTGTTTGGGTATATCCCGTGCTGGAAGTTCTGCAATTGCCTCAGCGTATTGTGTTCTTTATTGGTTCGCTGGTATTTACATTGGGCCTCTATATGTTCGGTGAGGTGTTAAATAATTTGGTATGGTCAAAGGAACTTAAAATGGCCCAACGTAAGCACAAATAAATGCAAGACCTACGAGCAAACAAAATACAAACAAACCAAATATATTTGACAAATAATTTCATTTCACCAAAATTTTTCCTGAATTCTTCGAAATATTTCTAACAAGATGTTTAAAAATTAAACTACAACAACAAACAAAAATTAAATAATTAAAGAAAACCCAGTAATATTGTTCTTATGATAATTCTAAAACAGATTTTTAAAATGCTATTAACGTTTTTTTTCGTTCTGTGAAATATAAACATACCTAACTATTCTCCCTCTTATAATTATAAATAATTATTTATATATCTAAGTATTGTATTTCAAGAGGTAAACCAAAAAAAAAAAGAACAAAAAGTAACAATACTTTAAATAACAATTAACAAAAATAATAATAATCTATTATTAAATGATCAAGTAAAATACAAGAACTAATTCTAAACCAATCTTTGTGAAAATCCGCCTTTATTTCTGTAAGGCTTTATAGTGTGACATAGCATTTCAATTTATTTTTCAGTTCTGTTAACTTATTCAATAAACTCTTTATATTTATTAAGAATAAAAAATTAATAACAATTTAAAAAGTGTAAAATTTATGCAAATTATGATAATAGTTGTAAAATTAAGACACGTTTAAAAAAACACACACACACATTTCTCAAACTCAACTCAAAACTTTGTCATATCAACTGCACGAATTATAACAAAAGTTAAATACAAATATTTGACAATTATTGATCACCACCACTCTGGACATCTTTAAGTTATTAATTAAAGAAGATAAAAAATAATATGTCAAAACGATTTAAAAAAATATTTCCAAAAAATAATAAAACAAATTCTCACAATAGTATTTTGATGTGAATTTTTATTTTCAATGGATGAATACTAAGAAAAGGAATAGCTAATAAGCTCACCTCAAATTCAACCAGAACTCGTTGATTGATCCGAAATGACCCGAGTCTCACTAACATTGCAAATAAATGTCTTTAATTTTTCTTCGAAAAACATTGTTACTGTGGGAGAAAATTGGTAATTCTAAAGGAAGTTAGTTCCAATTCTTAGCAAAACGGATCATTAAGGATTTTTCCAAAATAGAGCATGTTATTCATGGTATAACTAGGTTAGGTATCCCAGATGATCGGGAAAAAACTAAATGATTGACGAAAAATACTCGGAATTCCACTTCTTAACATTTTATAGAAAACACTTGGGTTAATTACAAATGAATTTCTTCTCGTCCAATCCAAACACTTTCTCAAACAAAAATTAATTTTGGCCTGAATGGGTGTCAGACTTATCTTGATGTGGGATAAAAAGGAGAAAAATGTCATTAGCATAGAAAAAGGGTGTACAAACATCATCACCAGAAATTCGGAGAGAATACATATTACATGCTAAGATTGCACTTTCCCCAACACTTAAGGTTTCTAATGAAGCTGTAGATTAAAACAGGTTCCATAGTTGAATAGAAGCTTAGACATGGTGGAAAGTCAGAACCCACCAGCCTGTGCCGTCTGTAGGCCTGGATTGGACAGCGACACAGGAGATGCTCAATTGTCTCCGTCTCCTCCTCGTCAACACAGAGTCTACAGAAATCAGTAGCATCATGGTCCCATACACTGATAAAGGCACAGATATTGCAATGACCAGCAATGACTCCTGTCATTACTTTGATCTCAGCTTTACACAAGTTCAACAGTGAGTTTGTTCTCTTGGTTGACAGAACCGCCCACATAGATCTTAACACATTGCAACTAGGTTTGTTGTGCCAAAGTTCATTCGTCAAAGAACACCTCAAAATTCAGGAAAAGGTGACAGTTGAGTGTTTTTTTTTTTTTTTTGAGACATGGATTGAGATCCTCGTCTAGGTAATTCGTCTGCTTTTTCATTACCCGTGATGTCACAGTTACCAATGTCATACCTAATTCCTTCAGGATACGCCCATGTCCGTAGGAACAGTTTCGCCATAGATTATGTTCATGCAGCCTTAGGTCACTACGTGCTGCCTGACACTTAATGCTGAGACCCATATGCCTTATGTTCAGCATTGCGTTCAGAGCTGTTTGTGGGTGGCTCCTCGCGGCTCCAATTATTAGAATCGAGGATGTTCTTTGAACCTTGTCTAGATTGTTGGATGTTGTATAGTTTGCTGCGGCACCGGCAGTGCCACCAGACCCAACCTAGAAGCCTAATTTTTCCCAGTGGAATTCTTGCATGCATAGAGTGCAATCTGCCCTCTCTTCGCCCGCACCTCAGCGTTCTCATTCCATTTTAATTGACAGTCCAAGATTGTGTCAAGGTATTTTGCTTCGGGGACCTGATGAAGCTGCACTCCATCCACAAGTATAGATCAAGTCAGAAGATGGGACCCATTAGTCCACTACTTCTGTTACCTCCCTGACAAATGTTCAAATTTTTTAATGCTTATGAATCCAATATCAGGTGTGTGGAATGCCCGATTTGAACCAAACTTTGCACAACTTGTTATCTTTCTTTCTAACCAACAGAATCTCCTTTTAAATAGAATAAATAGTTTTTGGATGGACGGGGTAGGGCCGGTGATTTGAAACTATCTCCTAAGAACAGACGGCAACACCGGCTACGCAACTGAATCTCCTGTTAAATAGAATTGTTTTTTGAGTTGTCGGCCTTCAGCCGTGGATTAGGGACTTTATCCTATGGACAGATATGATACAGATATGGTCACACAGCGTAGCCGCTGTTGGTATTTGGGTGGCCATATGGTCACACAGCGTAGCCGCTGTTGGTATTTGGGTGGCCATATATTTTTATCCACAACATACACAGCCACATATCGCACCATTTTGGAAAGGGCAAACTGTATCTCCCAAATGGTTTGAGATAACCCCTTCATATCACCACCTAATGGAATGGAAATTAAGGAAAAATCTGATTGTTTTTAATAGAATTGAGCCTCGGTTCCTAATTCTTTATCCTATTTTGGTCGGTACCTAGACATTTGTGAATTGTGAGTTTTTCTATGCAACTTACCGAAATGTAATCTTGTGCTGCGGTTCATCGATTTCTATTTGGAACATCCACCTCATATTTTCCACTCCAACCGATCGAGAGAGCGAACTACATACGTAACGATCGCGTTTACCCCATGATCGGGAGCATGATGGACCGAGTTCAATGTTCAATGTTTTTTATAACGAACTTTATTTGGAACGTCACCATCATAATTTTGACTTCCCCAACCGACCGAGGGGGCCGAAGTACGTAACGGTCGCGTACACATCAAGATCCGGATCATGATGGGCTGATTTTAATGTATTTCACAATGGCATTTATATGGAACCACCTCCTTTTTGTCCGCCCCAAACCGACCGAGAAGGTGAACTGCGCAATGATCGAGTACACACCAATATCCATATCATGATAGAACGAACGAGCAGAGAAGCAAACAATCAGTTTATTTCATCAATTATCCGTTATTAATAAACCTATGTCAATGTACATATATTCAATATACTTTTATTATGCCATTTTTTAAATTTTATTATTTTTATTTAATTTTAATATGTATTTAATTTTTCACAACACTTTTCACCGCCAAAAATACAAAAGACGCAAACGTTCGCGAGAAAAAATAAAACTAACGGTAGATGCAGCCATCATTGACGGATGACATTAAATATGAAGAAGAGCAAATATATTGTTGCCAGATCAATAAAATATGATACATTAAAAGTTATCGATAATTAGGAGAAGGGATGATATCGAAGGAATCATATATCTTTTCCTGTACACATAAAATAATAAAACGTTTTAAATTTATGAGGAAACCACGAATAAATTGCAATTATTTTGAAATTACGCTATAGTTCCTAGTATACATGGGCATTTCAATGCAAATAGAAAAATTCTCAAGTATATATTCTCATCGAATCACCATGGCAACTCTACAAACTGCCATATGATATTTGAGGATTGTTTTGATTTTGCATAACCCCCATTTTTCGTCGGCGTTTGGAAGATAATATTCCTATATAATATTTTAAATCATTTTTAAATAGCTGTTATAAACTAGTTCAGCATGTCCCTGGCATCCAAATTGACTCTGGCAGCTTCATTTGTTGTTTCCGGTGGTATTATTGGTTATGTTCATTTTAAACAGACAAGTGACAGGTTGGTTTTGTTGCATTTGCTCCTAAAGGCACCCTCCGGAATTATTTTCATTTAAATTACAGAGAAAAACTACATGAGGGAGTCGTTCGAGATGTGGAACGACAACAACGTCGCAAAATGGAAAATACCTATACGCTGCAGAAGCAAATCGATTTAACGAAGCAGCTAAAACAAATGCAAACATCACAAGATGGTGAAGTCGTTAATACGGGGACATAGTCCAAAGGGAGTTGCTTGTAGTTATTTATGGTTGATATGTTAGATGATGGTTACTTTAATAGAATACAAATAAATTCTAAATTATTTTAGTGCAAAATTTGAAAATGATTGAATGTAAGCCGGATTGAGAATTTAATAAGCCACTGACATTGCTTTTGAACACGAACGATATTCGGCACCACCCGAACAAAATTTGTTACTCTTAATGGAATCATTTGGCTTAAGTTGAGTTTAGGGGCCCATCTCCAATTTTTTACCACTGGTAGATCTCGTCTTCCTGATCATGAGCATATGAAATCTGAAGTTCCGGAATTCATATGCTCATAACTTCTACAATTATGGACCCATTATGGTAATATTGGCGGATATTTAGAGAAACAAATTTATTTAAAAGGAAATTTCGATCAGGTAGCCTTGTTCCGCAAGCAATCATCGATATGGGTTAAATATTTGAAATGTTCACCATATAAAGGTACCTTTCAATGTTTGGTATTTATTACATTTCGTTTCGGAAAAATCCGAGATGAGCCCCTAAACTTTACTCGTTCCGCAAGTAATCATCGATAATGGTTAAGTATTTGAAATCCCCCCATATAAAGGTACCCTAAAATTTTTGGTATTTTTTAGATCTTAGACTTCGTTTCGGAAAAATCCGAGATGAGCCCCTAATCTCAACTTGCAATCGATATGGGTTAAGTATTTGTAATTCCCCCATATAAAGGTTCCCTAAAATGTTTGGTATTTTTTATATCTTGGACTTCGTTTCGGAATTTGTTCCTAAGTAATTATGTAAATTTATTGGAACCGGGGTCCCAATTTTTAGTATCTTAAGGATTTTTCGATTATAGGTATCGATAGGGTCTCAAAATCAATTAATTTTTGGACGTGATCCCGTCAATTTTTTTACTATAAAAGAGTGAATAATGTCCCCATGCTCCCCAAAATACAAATTTTTTGGGGGTACCGTTATATGGGGCCTACACACAAAATGTGGACCGATATTGCCCACCTTCAAACTTGACATGCCGACAGAACGAAATCAGCCCTATGCAAAATTTCAGGCCTAAACAAGACGATTTTTACCCATATCCAGAATTCAGAATACTTTATAGGATCGGAAATGAATTTTTCGATGAGTTACAAATGGAAGGACAAAATTAATATAACCTGCTCTATGTTATATTGGAGGGTATACAAATTAGAAACCAATTTGGATCAATAGCAGATTCTTGCAAATTTCCGGAACAGAGATCACTAATTTTTTGTGAAACTAAAAAGGTCTTTATTACGACATTCTTTTACATAGATATCTTCTATATTTATATTGAAACATATAAGTGTTGAGTTTTATTTTTTTTCGGGGGGTAAACTTAATTTGTTAGTGCAGTTGGATGAGGGGGCATATTTCCCCCTTTTAAAGGAGCCAAGAAAAAATTAGTAGTAACCTCTAGACAATCTAAATCATTATATCAGCGTTGGTTCAGCGGGGAAGATTCCATCAATAACGTCCTCTACGGCTGTCTCTGTCACGTTCACGACGATCGCGGGAACGAGAACGTCTGCGGCGTGGTGAACGGGAGCGTGAACGCGAACGACGTCTACGTGAATATAAATATCTAAAAACAAATTGAAAAGCAATTAGTTTTGAAACAAAATAATCCACTTTGTTCAACTAACCTGCGCAGCTCTCGTGAAATCGGTTTCAAGTGCATGAAATTGCAGAACCCCGAACGTGTACATTCACCCATTTCGTATTGGCGACAACAGGCTTCGCGAAAATCAGTCACCGGCGATAATTCTGAGTAGACTGGCCGTCCACCAAACCATCTGTTATTCAGATCATTTGCCGCCTTTTCAGCATCGGCTTCTTGGCGAAATTTTATATAGACATTACCCACCAGATGATCGCCCAAATTGTCACAAACATTCATCTCTTCAATTTCGCCATATTTATCCTCGCACTCGACGAATACATCTTCAAAGAAATTATCATAATGCTCTTGCATTTCTTCGTCTGATACATTCTTCACCAAATGTGAACCGTCGGCCGATTTGGCAGAATTTTGTGGGTTGACATAGAGGTTCTGCAGCAACACCGTCTGTGAAAATGTCGGTTTGTTGTGGATGCGTGAACAGCGATCACCATGACGGCAGGCACCAATTTTAAAATAAAAAGAACAATTTACTCTGCAAAACGAAGAGGGAAATGATAAACAAACAAATTAATAGCCATAAAAATTTTCTGCATCCTTCTCGATTGTTTTTGCTTGCTGACAATACATACTTGTCTTTTTCAGTGCCAAAAATGGACGCCAAATACTCAGCCATGTTGTTGTTTTGTTTTTATTTCTTATCCTGCCGGTAAGCAAGAAATTTTCTGGTGTACCCCCAATTCAGGAATATTGTGGTGTATGGATTCTACAGGTAGGAATTTTATTAATATTTAATGTAGTGGTTTAAAAATAATTTAGTTTTTCTTTTTTGTTCCGATTTGTTAACACACGCCGACTCTATCAAGTCTTGTCAAAGTGACACACAAATAATGCTGATGTGTGAGGACAAAATTAAAAACGTTCCATAGTGAGAACAGCGAATGCTGATGACTGAGGACAAAATTAAAAACGTTCCACCAGCTGCAAATGGGGATGAGGATGGAAAATGTTTAAAAATGAAGGAACTCAAAGTGGAAAACCGGAAAATTTACAAATGTGGTGTATTGATGAGAAGGAGGTGAATAAGAAGTGGCGATTAGGGTAAGTCTTCGATAATGGCAGCACTGTAGATAACAAATGTTTTCGAATGCGAATTGGTCTGTTCCAGAAACTGCAAGAATTCCTTAATGATATCGAAAAATATAGTAAAAATTAATAGATTTTTATCGTTTTCTGGTAAGTATTTATCGATGTGTGATTGCTAATGAACATCTGTTATGACATTTGCCGTTAAAAATACTAAAAATAATTATTGGTATGTTCCCGTACTGCAAGAATCTACTACTTCTCACTACGATAACGAATTTTCCTTTATGATATCTAAGTAAAATCCAGTAGATTCTTGTAGTACGGGAACAGACCATAAGTTTTATTGATAATACAACAGCCAGATAATACTTTCCGGAGAACGATTAGCCAATAAAAGAAAAATATATTCCTATTTATTATTGGCATATGTATTTCAATCCATGTTCTATTAATAAGGACGCTCTGGTAGCTGTCGAAATCGGGAAACAACTGTCAAGTCAAATTGTCAAAAATTTGTCACCCTAGTTGACTGAAAGCAATAGAAATCACAGTTATTTCTGTAGTAGACGTTACAAATTGGGAAGTTATTTTCGTCATCATAATGTGAAGACGTAATGCATTTTAACAGTGAACTTGACAAGCATCTGATTTGCAGCTGTTTATTGTCCTGTTACCGTACTGCAAGAATCTACTAGATTTTACTATTTTCTTCGATATCATCAAGGAAAATTTGTTATCGTACTATAGTCATCAATAATAAGAGGGCCTATTAATAATGTGACATTATTAATAGACCCTGTTTCAATCACAGAGCCGTCTGCCCAAGGCCCACTGATCAGAAATTGTCAATTTTTTCCTATTTCATAAGATTAAGTCAAAATTAAAAGAATCTTGGCAGCTCGTGTGAAATCATGTGGTCAGATTGAACGAACTTATAAATCGACTTTAAGAGTAAAAATGTGACCTTGGCATTACTATTGCTATTCCAGGGATAATAAATCGATTAATCGACTAAAATTCGAAATCGACTTTTAACCCTTTCAATGTCAACAAACATTTTTGTCGGAATAAAAATATAAAATTTTGTGTTTAAAATCATATAAAGGCATAGAATTTAGAAAAAATAGAATTTAGAAAAAATCCCGAGCCAAACAATTGAAGATTTAATAAAACATGTAAAAACGACTAAAACTGCTAAGGACGAACAAAAACCTGACACAATATACAAAAAGTGCACATATGTACGCTTCGCCAATTCAAACCTATATGACAAAGAACATTACAGACTTGCTTTAAAAAGTAGCAATACAAATAACAACTTCTTTAGTCGGACAAAATCAAAAACCCCTCCAGACGAACAATCTAATTTAGTTTATGAAATCAAGTGCAATGGTGACAAGTCCAACATATGCCAAAAGGTATATGTTGGCACTACAAAGACAAAACTAAAAACAAGAATAAGCGGCCACAAGTCTGATCATAAAAATAAAAACAAACCTCTAGAACAGAAAACAGCCTTAGCAGTACACTGTTCTCAAACTGGACACACACCTAACTTTAAAGATGTTAACATTTTAACACGCGAGGCAAACTATAAAAGAAGATTTATGTTAGAAATGTTACACATAATAAATATACCTGCCAAAAACCGTATCAATTTTAAGACAGATACAGAACATTGTGCACAAATTTACAGGAGCATCATTGAAAAAAGCACCAAAAAAAAAAAAAAAAGAGTTAGTTGATCTAGTCAATTCAATGAGAGTGGAAGTTAATCTGTGTTAATAAGAAAAATAAAATGTAACTAAAAACCAATTTTGTAATTTTGTTAATAAATTTATGTAATTATGTTTATTGTTTCTTAAAGTCAATCCCTGATGATGATCATCGACGATGATCGAAATATTGGAAAAATAAAAATAAATTAAAAAAGAAACTAAAAATCTTTTTAATTTTCAATGACCTCAAGCCGGAAAAATTAATAAATTAAAAAAAAAATAGCAATTGTCATTTGCTATTTTCCGTCTGTCTTTCAGCAAAAACAGAAACATCAATAGTAACGGTACCGAAAAATCGCAAAAAATAGAGTACTTTTAAATGTCGAATATATTCGACAAAAACACTGAAAGGGTTAATATTTGTGAAAATCGCAAAGTCGCCTTTTTTACAAAGCCTTATTTGTCCAAATAATACACATTCAAGACATTTATTTTATATTTTAACAATAATACAACAATTAAAAATCACATTTTTAGTTGATTTGAAACAAGTTCGATAAAATCGAAAAGTCGACGTTTTCAATGTCGAAAAGTCTAAAAATCGATTTGTTTTGTTAGAGGCAAAAGTCTAAAAATCGAATTTTTGATCGGAGACAAAAATCGAAAAGTGTACTTTTACACTCGACTGCATATCACTAGGCTATTCCATGGGTCATACCCTGGCTCCGCGTATATTTTTAAACCGATATTGTTAATTTTTAATAAGAGGATGTATGAAGATTTGAGAACTAAAATATATAACTATAGACGATTTGGTTGAAAAATGTGTCTGAAATTCTCCAAATACAGAAAATTTGGGAAACGTTGTACGGGGCGCTATACCAAAACGTGAACCAAAAATTTATTGGCTTAAACGGAATGTACACTAGAACTTTTTTTATCGGGTTAAACTACTTTATGAGGATTTATTTGACATATATTCAATAGAATTGACAATTTATATCCCTGGGTTAACCAAATCCAGTAAAATGTAAACGTACTATTATAATTTCGTTAATTTGCGAAAATATTCGTTAACTTTACGACCAAAATAAAGTAGTCACTAAGCTCTACCAACACACATACAATTTTTAACATAATTTTGTATTTAAATATGAAAAGTATGTACCTTTATACTATCTCGTAAATAATTTACGTTATAATTCTTGCAAAAACGCCTTTTCCAGCCGCCACAATTGTGTATCACTTTCGATTGCTGGTTATCGACAACGATTACACATTCCCCAGTGTTTGACGGCTTGCCATCAAACATGTGAACCCCCCTTATACAATGACTCTTGTTGAGAGATGCCTAATCGCAAATGTCAAATGAATTGAATTCTAGATAGTTCCAGTGTTTTGTGCAAAAAAGAATTGAAAAGCAACGTTAATTTGCTTAGCCAGCCAAAAACGACAATTATCTCGAAAAAAGTTAGGAAAACAATTGCATTACAAATAATAGTTAATCTATTGAAAAAAGAAAAGAAAGAACAAAACAACAACAAATAAAATAACATGGATAAGGTAAGATTTTTTATTTAAATGATGAAAATGCAATGAATCACAGAAATATTTTGAAAAGAAAACAAATGTGTGTGCCGTCGTCTCTCCCTAGAATATTCCTACCTCTCAGATGAAGGCGGCACACAAACGCTCATTACCACACAACATTTAAATGAAAAATAAATAAAAAATGACATTTGTAATGGAATTCCTTTTTTGTTGTTTTTGTTCGCCTTCTATAGGTAAATGAACTCAAGGAAAAGGGCAACAAAGCTCTAAATGCTGAAAAATTCGATGAAGCAATTGCCGCCTATACAGAAGCCATAACATTAGATGAGAAAAATCATGTTTTATACAGTAATCGATCTGCGGCATATGCAAAGGCCGGTAAATATGCCGAAGCATTGGAAGATGCCGAAAAGACTATACAATTGAATCCAACATGGGCCAAAGGCTATTCGCGTAAGGGTGCCGCAGCAGCTGGTCTGGGTGATTATATGAAGGCATTCGAGGCCTATAATGAAGGTAAGTTCGAATGTGGATTAAAAAATGTTCAATTTGCAAAAGAAGCATTGTAGGGTGTGTAAAAGATAAACATAACCTAAATGTTTTTATTTTCAAGATTCATTATCGTTTCGAAGTCTGTGTGTTGTGGATGCCAGATTGTGGTTTAGTTTTTTCGGGTATTTTAGCGAAATAATTAAATGTAGCCGATTTACATGGGAGTCCAAAATACATTTATTTAGTTGGTCTCGAAATTTCTAGAAAAGAAGTGAGGGAACAAGGACAGGAACGTTTAGGGGTTTGTCAGTTTTTTTTAAATTAAAATTAAGTTTTTATTTTTCTTTTCGTAGAAAGACCAACAACAATACACAGAATAATAATTGTCTTTAGAATAGTAAACAATTTTTTCAATTTAAAACAAGAAAACAATAACAAATTTCGATTAATTGAATAATCTTATATGTTCTAGAAGTAAGTACTCCAGTTCCTGAGCAGAAAATTAAAAAAATAAATAATGATAGATTTTTGCGGGTTCTAAAATATAGCAAATTTCAGCCTGATATTGATAGGGAAAAAATATACAATACACTGTGATACAGGGTCCTATAGCTTTGTGTATTTGTATGTAACACTAGAACTAGAAAATTCCATACATACTATTGAGAATATTTTTCTACCATTCAACAAAGATCGATTATACCATCCACCATAAATAAAATTATATTAGATTTGTCCTTCCGTTTCCAACATCTCGAAATATTTCACATAGAATTTTATTCTCAATATCAGAATAAAATACTTTGTTATGTTAGTGATGTCCTTGAAAATACGATAGAGGCTTGAAATTTTGCCCATTCATTGCTACTGTTCCTACGATGTTTGGTGATGAAAACGGGATATATTGGTCCACGTTCTGGTACGGGTCCCATATAACCGTAATTCCCAATACTCGATATTTGGGCTGTATTATTCGGGGTAGCCCCCATATAACGCTACCTCCCATATTCTGTATTTATCGACCGGATTGGTAGTAACTTTTATCAACCGAATAGGTAGTAACTTAAGATTTTGGTTTCTTAATAAGTGGAAAATGTCCATACCAAAAATTAGCAATATCGGTCCACGTTTTAGTATAGCCCCCATCAAAGCCCCCTTCAACCGAATTGGCTGCAATTTGATATGTTGAGTTCTCATTGGGTAGCAAATCTCCCTACCAAAAATTATCAATATCGGTCCACGTTTTGGTATAGCACCCATACAACGGCACCCCTCAATATTCGAATTTTTGAAAATTTCAGAGTTTTGAATCGAATTGTTTCTAATTTGATATTTTGGATTCTCATTGGATGGCAAATCTTCCCACCAAAAATTATCAATATATGCAAACGTTTTAGTATAGCCCCCATAAAACAGTACCCCACAATATTCGAATTTTTGAGGAATCCAGAAGCGATTTTGAATCGAATTGGTTCTAATTTTATATTTTTGGTTCCCAATGGGTGTTAAATTTTCCAACCAAAAATTATCAAGTTCGGTCCACGTTTTGGTATAGCCCCCATATAACAATGCCCTTTATTTTCGAAATGTTGTGAATTTCAGATACGTTTATGAATTGAATTGGCCCTAAATTAATAGTATGTGGGTTCTGCATGGGTATTATTAAATCGCCCTACCAAAAATTATCAATATCGGTCTACGTTTTGGTATAATCTCCATATGAAGCTACCCACGAATTTTCGTTAATTGAGAGTTTCAGGCATTTTTTCAACCAATTTGACCCTGATTTCATATTCTGAGATATAATTGTTTAAAATATTAATTTTTTTTTGCTTGAATCGAGCTGGCCTCCTTTGCACTGTTGTTTTTCCCTTACTGCATTTTTTGTGGCACAATCCCCATCATATTACATGAATAGAAGTTGTATGGCTTCAAAGTTTCATATGATGTTAGCCATAGCAAAGCAATAACGTCGTCGGTCATGATGAAAGGCTTCAAAAGGGAAATTGTGATAGCATTTTGTAAATAATTTTGTTATTTCATTAAAAATTCCCATTAATTCCAATTTCATTTCTTCAACATTTATTTCCAGGTCTCAAACATGATCCACAAAATGCCGTACTCCTGCAAGGACGTCAAGAAATTACCGCAGCGGTATTACAAACTATGCAAGGTATGAACACACCCATGGATGTTGATCCACCATCTTCCAATACCAACACATCTACCTCTACAAGCTCTTCGAGGCCATCTGCCGAATCATCTAAACCAGCCGAAAAACCCAAACCAGCTGAACCCAATCCCGATGAAATGACCGAAGAGGAACGTAAAAAATATTTTGCCAAAAAAGAAAAGGAAGCCGGTAATGCTGCATACAAGAAGAAGGAATTTGACGAGGCCCTTAAACATTATAATGCCGCTCTGGAATTGGATCCCACAGATATAACATTCTACAACAATATTGCTGCAGTCTATTTCGAACGTAAAGAATACGAGGAGTGTATTAAGACATGTGAAAAGGGCATAGAGATTGGTCGTGAAAATCGTGCTGACTTCAAATTGATTGGCAAGGCATTCGCACGTATCGGTAATTCATATCGCAAATTGGAGGACTATCACAAGGCCAAGACATATTACGAAAAGGCAATGTCTGAACATCGTACTCCTGAAGTTAAAACTTCGTTGAGCGAAGTGGAGAGTAAAATCAAGGATATGGAACGTAAGGCATATATTGACCCCGCCAAGGCGGAAGAAGAAAAGGAAAAGGGTAATGAGCTGTTTAAGAAGGGCGACTACAGCACTGCCATTAAACATTATTCCGAAGCAATTCGTCGCAATCCCGACGATCCAAAGTTATACAGCAACCGTGCAGCATGCTACACAAAATTGGCTGCATTCGATTTGGGCTTAAAAGACTGTGAAACATGTATCAAATTGGATGACAAATTCATTAAGGCCTACATTCGTAAGGGTAAAATTTTGCAGGGTATGCAAAAGTCGTCGAAGGCATCGGCTGCATACCAGAAGGCCCTTGAGCTAGATCCAAATAATGCTGAAGCTTTAGAAGGTTATCGTTCCTGTGCATTGAATCTGCAGCGTAATCCCCAGGAGGTGCTGAAGAATGCCATGAACGATCCGGAAGTTCAACAGATTTTGAAAGATCCAGCTATGCGTTTGATTTTGGAACAAATGCAAAATGATCCAAATGCTGTTAAAGAGTAAGTATCAAATATATATTCTTTAAAAAATTCACGCCTTGAAAAAATATTCTTTAAAAAATCCATGCCTTGAAAAAATATTCTTTAAAAAATCCATGCCTTAAAAAAATCTTCTTTAAAAAATCGATGCCTTGAAAAAATATTCTTTAAAAAATCGATGCCTTGAAAAAATATTCTTTAAAAAATCCATGCCTTGAAAATTGTTTCTTTAAAAAATCCACGCCTTAAAAAAATATTCTTTAAAAAATCCACGCCTTGAAAAAATATTCTTTAAAAAATCCATGTCTTGAAAAAATCTTCTTTAACAAATCCACGCCGTGAAAAAATCTTTAAAAAATCCATGCCTAGATAAAATTATTAACAAATCCACGCCTTGAAAAAATTATTGACAAATAACGCCTTGAAAAAATTATTAACAAATCCACGCCTTGAAAAAATTTTTAAAAAATCAATGCCTTTAAAAAAGTCTTCTTTAAAAAATCCATGCCTTGAAAAATATTCTTTAAAAATCCATGCCTTGAAAAGATCTTCTTTAACAAATCCACGCCTTGAAAAAATCTTTAAGAAATCCATGCCTTGAAAAAATCTTTAAGAAATCCATGCCTTGAAAAAATATTCTTTAAAAAATCCATGCCTTGAAAAAATCTTCTTTAACAAATACACGCCTTGAAAAATCTTCTTTAACAAATCCATGCCTTGAAAAAATATTCTTTAAAAAATCCATGCCTTGAAAAAATATTGTTTAAAAAATCCACGCCTAAAGCCATGCTGGAACTTGAAAAATATTCTTTAAAAAATCCGCGCCTTGAAAAATCTTCTTTAAAAAATCCACGCCTTGAAAAAATATTCTTTAAAAAATCCACGCCTTGAAAAAATATTCTTTAAAAAATCCGCGCCTTGAAAAATCTTCTTTAAAAAATCCACGCCTTGAAAAAATATTATTTAAAAAATCCACGCCTTGAAAAATATTCTTTAAAAATTCAAGCTTTGAAAAAATATTCTTTAAAAAATCCATGCCTTGAAAAAATCTTCTTTAACAAATACACGCCTTGAAAAAATCTTCTTTAACAAATCCACGCCTTGAAAAAATCTTCTTTAACAAATCCACGCCTTGAAAAAATCTTTTTTAAGAAATCCATGCCTTGAACAAATCTTCTTTAAAAAATCCATGCCTTGAAAAAATCTTCTTTAAGAAATCCATGCCTTGAAAAAATATTCTTTAAAAAATCCACGCATTGAAAAAATATTCTTTAAAAAATCCATGCCTTGAAAAAATCTTCTTTAAAAAATCCATGCCTTGAAAAAATATTCTTTAAAAAATCCACGCCTTGAAAAATCTTCTTTAAAAAATTCACGCCTTGAAAAAACATTCTTTAAAAAATCCACGCCTTGGGTAGGCCTCGAAAAATATTCTTTAAAAAATCCACGCCTGTGTTAGGCCTAGGCATATATTCTTTAAAAATGTTTTTAATTAACAAAAACTAAATTCCTTTTTTTATTTCTTTCTTTACAGGCACTTACAAAATCCAGCGATAGCCGATAAAATCATGAAACTCATGGAATCTGGAATTATACAAATCCATTAGAATTTAAAGAAAATAAAACAAACAAAAAAATACTAATGCTCCAAACAGTTATGGGGAATATAAAAGTAAACAAAAAAACTTTTCTCGCCTCTTCATTCATTCTTCGTTTGGTCGTCGTCAACTTCACGAAAGAAAACAGAGCCATGGCAATTTCTCTACAAAAAAAAAACAGTTTTACAATTCCTATTGATTTTTAAGCAATGGAGGAGAAATTTGCACAATCCGCTACCTTTCATTTTTTTATACATTATAAACCATTATTTAGATTTTCTTTAAATATGGTTTTGAAACCTTTCGCTCCAATTCATACATTAATCATTCAATCAACAATCATTTTCTTTTGGAGCTGTTTTTTTCAACAGAGTATTTTTCTTAATGTTTGGAAGATCCATTTCATCTGAAAAAATCTATAGATTTATTTATAGAATACAAACAAAATTGTTTAGGGATTTTTTGTTATTTTTTTAATAATAAAATTTAATGTTTTTTAAATACATTTTTATTTCTTCCTGTTTTCACATCTCTTTTGCAAACAAAACAAGCAACCAGCAAACATATACCTTACAAACAATTTTGAAAAGCAAAAATACAACAAAACACGACGCTGCTTTAAACAACAAGTACTACAACAAAAAACAATTTACTTAATAAATAGTATATATATGAAAATAATAAATATATATAAAAATTAAATAATAATAACAATAACAATATAATTGTTTACCGGAACAAATAAAAAATAAATTACAGGCTACAAAAAATATAACATATTTCTCTTAAATAGAAAAACAAAATATAAAATAAAAAATTATGATTAAATGGGTTTTAATAGGGAGAATACAAAAAAAAAACATAGAAATATTCTTCAAAAAATCCACGCCATTGATAGGCCTTGAAAAAATATTCTCTAAAAAATCCACGCCCATTGTTGTAGCCCCTGGAAAAATATTCTTTAAAAAATCCACGTCCATTGTTGTAGCCCCTGGAAAAATATTCTTTAAAAAATCCACGCCTTCGGTGGCCTTAGAAATATTCTTTATTTCTAAGGCCCTTTGAAAAATATTCTTTAAAAAATCCCCGCCTATTGCAGCCTTTAGAAAAATGTTCTTTGAAAAAACCCTTAGAAAAAATCCCTCCAGAAGCCTCAAGAAAAATATTCTTTGAAATATCTTTTTAAAATCCACAAATATGCCTTTTCTTAGAAAGTTATTTAAATAACCTTTTTGTATTTTAATTTATTAATATATATTATTATTCATTTTAATTTAATTAAATTTAATTTGTTTAAATTATTGTCATATGTAAATGCCATACGCCCTTCCATAGGAACCCCACTAATAACAAAGAAAGCAACAAAACGGCAACGGCGGCAGCACTTTTCATGAACAGCTGTTCACACAGACGATTGTTGTGCCCCCAGTGTTATCGATAACATTGTGTGATCTCTGAATAAGAACAAAAACAACATTGAGATCCAATAAAAAAATAGTATTTAATTAAAAAGAATAGATAATTAATGCAATTATAAAAAAGTAATATATCATAAAATAATATAAGTGTCGTATGATTAAAGTAATTGTTGGTCAATAGATTAGGCGTCGTGGCCCTTGCAAAGTCATTGAAATATAAAATATACAACGACTCGGCCTAAATATGATGGGTCAAGTGACATCATGATAAACAACATTTTATAAAGAGTTGCAAAAAAGAAGGCTGATGCAGTATTGAGACAATAAGAAGAGAAATAAAATATACTATTTACAACAACAACTCAGCCTGTTCCACAAAAAAGATATTGAATGCAACAACAAATAAGTGCTACAAGTTTATTTTTTAATACAATTCATATTGACACATAGTACATATTTATGTGTGCTCCCCCACCAATTGATGTATGGGCAAGAACTTCAACAACAACAACGAACAATACATAAAACCTTCAACAATTTATTTTTCAAATTATCAATAGAACCCATTATTGTTCCTGATTACATTTAACAAGCACACAACATTCGTCTATGTGTCGTCGCTCCAGAGCGATAAAAGCCCCACACTAATTAAAATTGAGTTGTGTTATCAACAATAGGTTTGCTTCCTTTCAGCAAGTATGCCATTCACTGGAATTGCAAACGCTTTTGTTTATACAGCTTGCAGAGAAAAGTAATAAAAAACAATTTTGTTTTAAGCCCCATTTTTTGAGAACAAAAATTTAATATTTTTGGAACGCCAACATGGCAATCAATTGGCGTGAATTGTTTCCAACAAAACTAACATTTCTTATATTCATACTGTATATGTCCCTGTTTATTGGACAAGGTAAGTGGAGGGCAAAAAACAAATTATTAAATTTTAATTAATTTATTTAATTTTTATTTTTTCAGGGATATTTGTAACCGCCTCACAAGAATCCAATAATTCATATAGTTATAACACCGTGACAGTTGTTCTATTAACCGAAGTCTTGAAACTTTTAGTTTCCGCATCACTATATCTCAGAGAGTAAGTGTGGGAAATGTTGATTTTTTTTTTTAATTTTTAATGTGTCCTTTTTTAATTTCAGTCACAATTTCACATCATTGGTCAAGGATGTTCGCAAAGATTACAATGTTATGCTGCTGTATTTTGTTCCAGCCTTACTATATTGCCTCTACAATAATTTGGCATTTGTAAATCTGGCCACGTTCGACCCCACAACATATTATTTGCTATTGCAATTACGAGTTGTTATAACGGGTATTTTGTTTCAGGTAAGATATAGTGGGGGAAAAAACTTAAAATATTTTTTCAGGGCCTAACATAGGCGTAGATTTTTTATAGAATATTTTTCTAAGAGCTACACTAGGCGTGAATTTTATATGTTTTTCCAATGGCGTGGATTTTTTAAAGAATATTTTCCAAGGGCGTGGATTTTTTAAAGAATATTTTCCAAGGGCGTAGATTTTTTAAAGAATATTTTTCCAAGGGCTACAAATGGCGTGTTTTTTTAAAGAATATTTTTTCAAGGGCTATATCAGGCATGGATTTTATTAAGAATATTTTTTCAAAGGCTATATCAGGCGTAGATTTTATTAAGAATATTTTTTCAAAGGCTATATCAGGCGTAGATTTTATTAAGAATATTTTTTCAAAGGCTATATCAGGCGTAGATTTTATTAAGAATATTTTTTCAAAGGCTATATCAGGCGTAGATTTTATTAAGAAGATTTTTCCAAAGCTTATCAAAAGGGTGAATTTTTTAAAAAAAAGATTTTTTTATGGCGTCAATTTTTTAAAGAAGATTTTTCCACAGCTTATCAAAGACGTAGATTATTTAAAAACATTTTTTCCATATTTTGTTTGTGATAAAAATTAATTTATTTTTGTTTTTGTTATTTTTCCCACAGATAATTTTCAAAAAATACCTCTCGAAGCGGCAATGGATTTCACTAGTCTTACTGACACTTGGCTGTATGTTGAAACAAATTAATTTCAGTGGCATCTATGGTGATAATAATCAAGACACTAAAAATGTGGCGGCAGCAGCATCATCTGATACGGCCAACTCGAACAACCATTTCAGTAATAAAAATATGAATGGTTTTGATTTTAGTTTAAGCGCCCTACTAATTTTGGCCCAAACCATATTCTCATGCCTGGCTGGGGTCTACAATGAATATCTGCTCAAAGACAAAGGTTCCGAAGTGAATATCTTTGTACAGAATGTGTTCATGTATTTAGATTCGATTGTTTGTAATGTGGTAATACTACTATTTCAAGGTGATCTGTTCTCAGCCTTTACAGCGGAGAGTCTTCAGGCAATATTCCGCTTTAAGGTCCTCATTATTATTGTAAACAATGCCGCCATTGGTATTGTGACAAGTTTCTTTTTGAAATATATGAATTCAATATTGAAGACATTTGCCAGTGCGTTGGAGCTAATGTTCACAGCGGTATTGTGTTATTTCCTTTTCGCCATACCGATTTATATAAATACAGCAATGGCCATAGCTGTGGTCTCCTTTGCCATTTATTTGTATTCACAAAGTCCTGTGGTGAATTTGGGTAAGGTACGACCACTGACAAGTGTCAATGATTTACGCGATAAACAAAAATTGTTGGATGAGGATGGTGATACTGATTTGGAAATGGATATGGTGTAGAGTTTATAGAAGATACGATCGACCATCATATGATAGCTCATATAGGAGGAGAGGTACATCGAAAATATGTATTGTATTTGAAAATAATTTATTCTTTTGCAAGAAAATCTTTTTTTATTATTATTTTCAATGCTGTATTTTATTATTTTTGTTATTATTATTTTTTTTAATATTTAAAATACATCAAAGTATTTTGAAACAAATTCAAGCAATATTTGTTATATGTATCTTCAACTATTTGATGATATTCCATCCTATATATATATTTTTTCTAATTGGAAATGCTCTCTCCTTTCTTCTTTTCTCTTTAGAAGCCAAAAAGGCTCATATTTTTAAATATTCTATTTCGTTAAGAATCCCATTTGGCCTTATTTGAATTATTTTGTAATTATGTTATATTAATATTATTATTTTTTTATTAAGAAAACAATATTTTTCATTTTCTTCTAGAAATATGTTATTGTTTTAATTATTTAAAATATTAGATTTTCAATTTTATATGTTGCATTTGTTTTAATTCGTTAATGAAATCGAAAAAGAAATACTTTAAAAAAAGGAACCTCACAATACTTCCCTCCTTAAAGGGGAGTTTTACAACACAGTCTGTTCCATACTCCCATCCGTTTTTTCTTGTTGCTGCTGTATTTAGTTCTACTTCATTGGGTGAGGCTTGAGATGTAGTATAATTTTTTATTACCACAAAAAATAATTACTCTTATGATTTATTAAAACAAAGACTTACTCTTAATGTATAGAATATAAATAATAATAAAAGAAACATTTAAATACTATTGAGATATAGAAAATTCTCTATAACTGGCAAAAAAGTGGAATGAGATTCATCATGCTAGCCTTATTTAACCAAAGTTTAATGATATTTGTATAATTGAGTTTTTTTATAAAATAAAAAAATAAGTTTGAACAAAAAAAAATTAAAAACAAAATTTTAATTTATTTTTAGAATATTTTTTCAAGGCCTACCACAGGCGTGGATTTTTTAAAGAATATTTTTTCAAGGCCTAACAAATAGGCGTGGATTTTTTAAAGATTATTTTTGTAAGGCCTAACAAATAGGCGTGGATTTTTTAAAGAATATTTTTTCAGGGCCTAACAAATAGGCGTAGATTTTTAAAGAATATTTTTTCAGAGCCGGACCAAGGCGTGGGTTTTTAAAAGAATATTTTTTCAAGGGCGGACCAAGGCGTGGATTTTTTCAAAGCCGGAACAAGGCGTGGATTTTTTTAGAATATTTTTTGTAAGGCGGACCAAGGCGTGGATTTTTTTTTAGAATATTTTTTGCAAGGCGGACCAAGGCGTGGATTTTTTTAGAATATTTTTTGCAAGGCGGACCAAGGCGTGGATTTTTTTAGAATATTTTTTGCAAGGCGGACCAAGGCGTGGATTTTTTTAGAATATTTTTTGCAAGGCGGACCAAGGCGTGGATTTTTTAAGAATGGTTCCCGTAGGAAGCCCACGAATTAGATAGAAAGACCAAGTAGAAAACAACATCTTGAAACAAGACCGACGCGCTTGGAAATCTTTTTTAAGCTCGGCTTATGGAACGTGGATTTTTTTAGAATATTTTTTGCAAGGCGTAAGTAATTCAAGGCGTGGATTTTGGTTTCTCACAAGAAAATTTAAATAGTTCATGTTTTAACCTATATAATGGTCCGACTCATGGTACCATGGGTCCTACTGATTTTGGTATTTTGAAGTTGTTGTTGTTGTAGCAGCCCTATTGCTTTTACACAATGGGCTGAGGTGACAGACGTTGGCCGAGTAAGACTCGGGTCGTTTCGGATCGTAGACCCCTCTGTCGAGGAAACGGGTATTTTGAAGTAGGTTTTGATGTTTAAAATTATATTTTTATTTATTATTAACACAAATATTCTACACACAGTATCCAAAACATAAAACATACAAATAAAATTAAAACACTAAATACAAATTGTAAAAAAAAAAAATAAAATAAAGAAGAATAAATTATTCTATGGTTCGTCGTTTTTTGGAAAGCATATGATGATGATTTTGAATATTTTCATTGCTTTCAATTTTCATGATATCATTTTCCTCAATTTTTCCAATATTATCCTTGTTCTCCTTTTCCAGTTCCTCCAATTCTTCGCGCAAATCTTCCGCTTCACGTTTAAGGAATTCAATTTTCGATTCGAAAATACGCCGCTGACATTCAAGTTCAGTTTGGAGACGTCGTTCGAAATTCTTTTTGGTCTCATCCAAAGTGACCTGAAATGAATCGACCAATTGTATCCGTAATTCTTGTTCTTGTTTTTGCAACTCTTCATTGCGTTCATTTGTGATACGTTCAATTTCATCACGCAACCGGGCATTTTCATCCAGCAGATCTTCGTTGTCATTGCGCAGGAAGGCATTTTCCTCCAACAGCTGTTGAACATATTCGTTGTTGACCAACTCCTTATCGCCAAATACGGAATAACGTGACTTGGTTTGTTTCGTCGCCGGGGCTTTGAAGACAATATTTCTGGCAATGGCAGCAAAACTTAAAACATTTAAATTTTCCTCATAGTATTTATCTGTGGGTGTCACATTCACAATCATGGCCATTTTTTCTTTGCCCAGGAGAGCGGCCTGCAGTAGCATGGTTAGCTTTGATTCTCTAAATGGTATGCGATCTTTTCCTCCGGCCGATACAGTGTTGGCGGCATCTAAGCACCGGCCCAAAACCATTAATGAAGTGTTGATACGTTGTGCTTCCTTTAACCGGGAACCAATGTTACCGGTCTTGTCCAGTCGCTCTGAACCGGCCAAATCGCAAAATTTAAATGAGGTTTCCGTAATCACACCCGAACGATAATACTTGAGAACATCAACAAAAAATATACAATGGGATCGACTCGAGTTGGCATTAACTAATGTCGATGCATACGTCAGCTTTTGTAGACCCCAACGTAATAAGCGAAGTGCCTCGGCACTGGTTTTGACAAAAACCGTTGTTAGACCCTTTATGAAAACATTGCCGTCATTGCAGACAATTTTCAGATTTGTCTTCTTGCCATTGCCGGCTGGCAGTGGTGCCAATAGGTCATATACCAGTTCATTGTAGATTTCAACAAATGACACCCAGATCAGTACGGATACACCATCGTCCAGTTGGAGTTGTGGGAAATTGTGATCCGCTGCAATACGTTGCTGTAGATTGGCATAATCGCCCTCCAGTTCAGGACAACTGGACATTATTTTACAACGCATACGATTTTCCTTTGCGGCCTCAGCATCATCGAGTACAGCAATGCGTCCATTGGCCAATTTCAAAACCGGGGTGGGATAAATATTTGTTTGATATTGTGTAAATATGTGCTCCAATGAACGGGGTATAACACCCGGACGATTGGCATCGCCAAGCAGTGTAAATGTTTTACCCGAACCCGAAGTACCATATGTCATAACCGATAGACTTTCCTCCGCCTCGATCCTTTGTCCAATACATTTCTCATAGACTTCACTCTGACTTACCGTGGCATTGAAAATTCCCGAAAAGCTGTAATGTTTTTCCATGGAATTTTTGTTGTTGCTTGTGCTGGCACACTCTAATGGCGGACCCGTTATTAAAACATTACCATCTTCGGATATTTTATAGGATGGCGAAGGGCATGGGCTGACTGGTCGAAGACGTAGATATACCAATGCGCCTGTCTCCACCTGAGATGCAGAACCATCACTAGAATTGGCATCTGTTATTCCGGAAGACCTGACATCGCTGTCGACATCACTAACCGAACTATCGCTGGAATAGTCGTCTTCCTCGATTTCGGCAAAAAGTCGTTCTCGTTTTTGGGGTCGTGGACGAAATCTGCGGTCAATGCTGGGATCTCTGGCCATTAGAAAGGAACGTACCTCACGTTGGGGATTTAAATTTGTGGATGTCATGTTTTTTTATTTTTTTGCGAAAGCGTCACTGTTTGCAATGTAAAGGGGGAAAAAGCAAGTTAATTCAAAATAATTCGGCGCCAACCAGTCACTGAATTCTCAGCCGCCGTAAATAATGTAGCGGCATTTCACAACAGAGAAGAGAAAAGAGAGGGCGACGCTGTTGTTATAACGGCGTTGATGTGTAATCAACTGCTTGCTTTCATGTTTGTTGGCGTATGGCGTACAGAGTGTGACATAAAAGTATTTTTTTAAGTTATTTTGTTAAATGAACTATTTTTTTAAATTAAAATAGAGCTTGGATTAACACAACAACAATTTTTATAAATTTGTAATCATGGTACAATTATAAAAGGTAACAGCAAATCTCAGCTGATTTGATTCCAACGTAATACTAGTGTCAATATGAATTTGACAAATTATGTTTTTAAAAATCACCCAACAGGAAAATTGGGAACGCATACAATTTAAAATTGTTCTTTATTAAATGTGCTCCTGTATTCAATTTACTCAATCTGCCTGCTGGGAAAGTTTGAATAAGCAAATATTTCTTCAAGGAATAACTCGATATTCCCAGCATTTTCATATGTGTTACACATATATATGGCAATGGCTCAATTATAGGAAAGATGTGGAATAGATAGATATATAAATTTGATAGATTTTCATTCATGTTTTTCAATTTTTATTTTGAGGATTCGAAAATATTTCATTTTCAAAATAAAAATAATTTGATGATAATTTGTTTGTTTGTTTACATTTTTCTGTCAAATGAGTTGACACTAGTAGAACTTACAACAACAAATTTCCATGTGGTTGTTGTATCGTTTTTTGTACAACAACACTTGCTGTTACCTTCTATTATTATACCATGATTTGTAATTATTAATCATCATGTAACTACTACATTTAGGTAATACGTCGTACGCTATTAACAGCTGTTAAACAGGCACGCATTTGACGCCGTCAAAACCAGCATATCGCCTATGTATAAATAATAGTGTTGTTTATTAATAAATTGCCGCATTATTATTGACGCTAGCAATAAATTATTGAATTACGAATATATTTTCGAGTAAATTCTGGATAATCTGCAGGACAATTTAATATTGCAGGTGAGTGAAATAAAATAGTTTTCAAATGTTGTCCAATAATTAAATATTTTATTTACGGCTTGGGTCGCCACTTTCCACACAAGCCCACACACACACACACACCAAACAAAACAAATCATGCTCCTTCAAGTTTGGAGACTTTCGAGCAGCTAACTACACACACACATGTAATTGTGGATTTGTGTTGAAGCCCCGAACGATTTAAAAAAAAACACTTGATTGATAAGGTACCGACCAGTGTAGATTTAACAGGGTTTAGGACCCGCCCGCAAAGCATTTTAAAATTTAAACCACAGGTTCCTCGGAGGGGCCAGATTGTAATGATTATTGCGGAAATATAAACTTTCGGGGATATGAGTCTAAAAATTTACGCTGGGACCCTTGTAAACCGGCTGTTGTCCTGATTACAAAAATTTAATTTTCTAATCGAAAAAGTCTACGCTGCTGTGATATGGGCCAACGACAAGTATTTTAGAACTTTGTTATTGTATTTTAATATAGGTCCATACTTTTTTATAGCTCCAATGTGCATTGTATTTTAATATAGATCCATACTTTTTTATAGCTCCAATGTATATGGAGGGGACACGCCTTTTTGGGGTATTTTAAAGTTGATAGGAGTATTTTCGATTCGAAGTTGCAATAATTTACCACTTCAAGTTCTCATATAAAAAAAAATAACTCCAGGCGGACTATATAGGTCCATACTCATGAACCAGAGGACAGCCCATGTTAAGACATTTTAACAATTACATGTGGTTTTTTCATCCTATATACCTGTAATTTATTTAATTATTACTTCTCTCACCAGCTCTTCTAAACATAACCCAAACCAAAGAAGACGCCGCACACCAACCATGTCCGATGACAATGAATATGGAATTTGTCCCTTCAACAGCGGTCATCGCATTGTCATGTATCGAATGCCGGCACACGTTTTAAAATGTCGTAAAAATTATCGTGGTCCCCCGTTGGAGGTCTGTGAATATAATGCCACACATTTTGTGCCCGTCGGAACGATGAGTGAACATTTGCAAGATTGTCGTGCCTATCATCGTTTCAATCAGGCGACCTACAATAAAATGGCGGAGAAATCAATACGACAAGATGTTTAAGGGTTATACGGATACGAGGATAATTTTGGACTAGGACCTGGATCTCTGGAAATAATTTTGCTTCATTTTTGAAATAACCGATTTCAATCGAATTTTTTTGATTTTATATTTTTGTTCATAAACAACATTTATTTTTTATATCATACATTTTTTTTTGACTCCATGCAGCTTATAAGGGAACTCTAAGAGTTTCTTGAAAAATATAAATCATATTGCAATAAGTTAGTATAAGAAAAAAATATACAGACAAATTTAAACAGAAAATTTTGCGATTTTCATTTTAGAAAATAGGGGTTCTTCTTGCTATAGCCCGGTGGCTGTTGTTAGTAAGTTCTGAAAAAGTTAAAAAAATAGCTTTTATAAAATCCACGATTTTTAAATTCTGGAAAAATATTTTTTAAAAAATCCATGCCTTATAGAAGTAAGAAAAAATATTTTTTTTGGAAAAATCCACACCTAGATGTTTTTTAAGAGTATCCAATATATTCTCATTTGGTCCATTGTTAAAGGTATATTAAAAATTCTTTGAAATTTCTTAAAAAAAACTGCATAATATTCTTTTTGTTGTTGTTTTAACACTTTATTCAAATCGTTATTTATGTGTGTATAAAGATTTTGTTTCCTCCTGTTGTTTTTTGTTTGTCTATATTGTGGTTTCTATTCTTTTTTTACTAAATATACGATTCGTTACAAATAATGTGTGTGTGTGTTTCTCCTCCGTATAATTTTACTGCTTTTTCTTCCTCTTTTTTGCTTATGTGTTAAAAAACGATAAGGATATTAAAAATTAAGAACTTATTTGGTAACATCCTTCGATTCCTTAGCGTTTTGTAAAGATTGTGTAATAAAGAGTTTAGCCAACGATTGCGAACAGAATTGGGAAATGTGTTGAGAATAGGTGTTGATTTGACCCGAGGCAATGGTGGCATTAAGTCTGGGTGGAACGGGCAATGGTCGGAATTGTTTAAGAACTTCTTCCTCGGGAACGGGTGATTCACCTTTGGCAACACGGATAGCATTCTCGGCAGTTTGTTTGGTGAGAGCACGATGTTTTTCCTATTAAAAACAGAAGATATTTGTAAACAAATATTGAATGGGTGTTTAAAAAATATTGCTTCCACTTACAGTTTCCTGTTTAAAGACAGCCTGTTGATACTTATTGTAACGCATCGACTCCTGATACAATTCATCCACACGTTCGATCAGACAACGCATATGACTTTCCAACACCGAGGCGGTACCCAAATCCAAGAAGTTATGACCCTGTTCCTCGGGCATCATTTCACACAATTCACTCACCATAATATTGGTCAATGGTGAATTCTTAATAACAATGGGAATCTCCACAAACAAACTCTCATAGCCCACCTTCATGTTTCGCAAAGCCTCTGGCGTGAAATCACCATCCTTGTACATTTGAATGGCTTGTGGTGTCAAACGATAGGCCTTCAGGCAAAGGAAACCACGTCCCGACTTTTGTGTATCATAAATGACAACAACCGATTCCTCAATGCTGGTCTGGTAGTGGTATTGGGATTCCAACAATGCCATGGATAGGAAATTGCCCACATTGGAACTTTGATACCAGCCCACATGGAAGTGATCGACATTGACACGACGCAGACGGCGCATCATTGCCAATTGATACAGTTCTTCGTCCATGGTATCGTCTTCGTTCTTGGGGAAGGGGAAGCAATTGGTGATTTCCAAACACTTGTCCACAACAAGGCCCAGCAAGGCACCTTGAGCCAAATCCATGTTACTGGATTCTTCGTGGCAGTGCTTGACAATTTTCATTGCCGCCTAGAAAAGAAAACAAAAAAAAAAAAAAAATAATCAAAATTTGCAAAAATAAAAATTCCTTTTTTTTAACATAAATATGGCATCTCCCCGTAATCGCTGGATGCACAGTTGTCAACTTGCGAACGTGTGATTTTCGCTTTTGACATTTGCTGCTGCCTAGCCACTGCCCCAATACACACATTTTTATCAATGAATAATTCGAACAATTTATTGTTTAACTTCGCAACTTTTATAAATTATTAAAGCGGATAATGAAAACTATTAAATTAACTTACCAATCCATCACATTGTACATAAGTAATGGTGTTATCCACTTCTTCAGTTTGGCGAGCACGGTTACCACGATTTGTTGCCATTTTGATGAATTTGTGAAAAGAAAGATAGTGATGACAATAATGGGATTTTTGACATTTATCGATTAATACATGCATTTTCGATATGTTTTTTGTTGGTTATTATTTATCGATATTACAGTATATAGGGGACAAGGCGACATTACAGATTCATGATAATAATGACAATCTAGTGGATAATTAAAATTACCAATTATTTCGATTTATTTGGATTTTTCATGGCATAATTTATTTATTTTATTTATTTCTTTCAAAAATGCAATTTGAAGCCTCAAAGGCCGATTTTAAATAAATTGCAAACCATACTACTCCATATAATAATTAAATCTTAATGACTATATCTTATAAAGGTATGATAATCCGAACATATAATAGTATGGAGTTTTTTAAGTGACTACACGTACATATTCAATATGAAGCAAGTAGTAACGTAATTACAGAAGGTAGTCTCATTTGAGAAATTAATAACGGCAACCGACTTTAAATTGGAATTGTTTGAAAAATAAATTCCATAAAATTTTTTGCATGTCGAATGACATATTTTTTAAATAAAAATAAAAATGTATATTTTCTGTAAATATTAAGTGATTATTTATACTCCTTCGAGTCGAGCTTGATGATTTAAGTTTTGCAATGAAAAGGAAAGCCAGGAGAAGAACCTACGTACCCATCATTATTCGACGCGTTTCGCCGTTGGTTAAACGGCTCATCAGGCATATTAGGCTATGTGGCTTTACAAATGTCGTACGTTGATAAATTCAAATTTGTCAAAGTTCGACATTTGTCTTCATTCTAGGAACAGTCCATTTCAAAGCAGATTTTTGTTGTAGCAATGGATAATTAATCCACACACCTACAATTGCTTCCGCTCACACAATTGCTTCTGCTCATCCGCTCACACAAAACGAATTGTACCATATTTAGTACCATTTAGTGCTTCTTGTATCCATAAGTACGAAATTCCAATACAACCTAAATACTGTAATTTTTATTTTAAATTGGTACCATTTAGTACTTTTTGTTTCATGTCAATCCTACACTCCAACATTAATTTTAATTCCAAAATTCTGAAGTCCAGTTCTATCCATTCATACGTAATCAAGTTGTACCAAATATAGTACACATAAGTACTATGCTTCCATATCTCAATTCTATATTCCAACGGCAGCCATTATTCCAAATTTTAGGTTTCCAGCTTTCTCCATTCACCCAAATACAAATTGCACGAAATCTAGTGCCGTTTAGTACTTTTTATACATATAAATACGATTTTACAAATATGTCTTTAGAACTGAAAACCTTTCAAGCAAAATCACTTTTCGTACCAATAAGTACGAATTTCCTAAACTACCTCAATATAACACTCCAACAGTAAATTTAATTCTCAATTTGAAAACTCCAGCTCTATACATTCACCTGTACTACAATAGTAGTTCAAATTCCGATTTTCAGGCTTCCATCTCTATACACTCATTTAAACGCAAATAGTACTAAATTTAGTACCATTTTGTACTTTTTATATAAATATGTACTAATTTCATAAACCATTTTCATACATCAACACCACTTCACAACCTTTATTCCATATAACATTTCAAGATTCTAGCTATATATGTTCAATACATATACAATTAGAACTAAATTTAGTAAACTTTAGTTTCCATCGGTGACCCACATTCCAAATTTCAGAATTGTAGCTCTTCTCGTTCGCCTAATTCAAAGGGTACCATATTTTAGTGCCCTTCTAGTTCAAATTTCCAAAAACTCAGCCTTATCTCACGCCTATACAGCAACAACAACCCACACCAAAAATTTTCATGCTTCTAGCTTTAGCCGTTTCGTCTGGGCGATGATCTGTCCGTCACTCACTTAACACACTAAAAGTATATTTACATATACGATTTTAAATCGACTCGATTAACGAAATCCAGAAATACATCCTAATTGTTTACACATACCTTTAATCATGATCTAAATACGGATCAGCTGATGTTTGTTAGTATACATACAAAATTATAGATTTGCTGCAAAAATAGTTGTTTGCAATTTGAACATGAAACGAAAAATTACAACAATGGAAATGTTTTTGAAATGGTGCGATCGTTTGGAAATTTTAAAAAACAACGAAAAACACAAAAATTCTATTAATAATTGTTATTTAATTTTTGTATTTGGTAACCGTTAAATTTAAAAACAAACAACATGTGAAAACAGTTGCAAATTTTTGTACATTGTGAGAGAGTTGTATTTTTTTAGCACAAAAACCGCGTTGCATCTCAGTAGTATCATGATTTCGATCATGATTTAAAACCTGCGTGAAGTTAGCGACATCGCTAACTTTCGATAACAAAATTTTTATCGAAATTACAGGGTGACACAGAACATCACAATTTCACGTTTAATACTATTTTTAACAACAGTGCTTTCCAACAGAGATAGCGCAGAATATTATAAAATAATAATTTTTCAAAATTATTAATAAAAATATTAACATAATTCATTAGTAATGAAAAATAATAAACAACACGAAAATTTTGAAACATATTATATTATAATCTAAAAATAAAGCGTTACTAAATCACAAACATTTTAATCCAGTGAATCAGGAGAGATGTCCGCCTCTGGAAGCCTTCCTATACAAACCTCGAACATAGTGATGGTACCAAATGAAAGAGGGAGTCTATTCGAGTATTTTGGTATGCACCATATGTTCAGATTCAGTTTTTTGTAGAACAATGTTGCTGAATTTCTGATTTCCAACTGGTGGTCAGGACACCAAACTGGCTCTGGAAGCCTCCATATACAAACCTCGAACATAGTGATGGTACCAAATGAAAGAGGGAGTCTCTACGAGTATTTTGGTATGCACCATATGTTCAGATTCAGTTTTTTGTAGAACAAAGTTGCTGAATTTCTGATTTCCAACTGGTGGTCAGAACACCAAACTGGCTCTGGAAGCCTCCATATACAAACCTCGAACAAAGTGATGCTACCAAATGAAAGAGGGAGTCTCTACGAGTATTTTGGTATGCACCATTTGTTCAAATTCAGTTTTTTGTAGAACAAATTTGATGAATTTCTGATTTCCAACTGGTGGTCAGGACACCAAACTGGCTCTGGAAGCCTCCCTATACAAACCTCGAACATAGTGATGCTACTAAATGAAAGAGGGAGTCTCTACGAGTATTTTGGTATGCACCATTTGTTCAAATTCAGTTTTTTGTAGAACAAAGTTGCTGAATTTCTGATTTCCAACTGGTGGTCAGGACACCAAACTGGCTCTGGAAGCATCCCTATACAAACCTCGAACATAGTGATAGTACCAAATGAAAGAGGGAGTCTCTACGAGTATTTTGGTATGCACCATTTGTTCAAATTCAGTTTTTTGTAGAACAAAGTTGCTGAATTTCTGATTTCCAACTGGTGGTCAGGACACCAAAATGGCTCTGGAAGCCTCCCTATACAAACCTCGAACAAAGTAAGGGTACCAAATGAAAGAGGGGGTCTCTACGAGTATCTTGGTATGCACCATATGTTCAGATTCAGTTTTTTTGTAGAACGAAGTTGCTGAATTTCTGATTTCCAACTGGTGGTCAGGACACCAAAATGGCTCTGGAAGCCTCCCTATACAAACCTCGAACATAGTGATGGTACCAAAAGAAAGAGGGAGTTTCTACGAGTATTTTGGTATGCACCATTTGTTCAAATTCAGTTTTTTGTAGAACAAAGTTGCTGAATTTCTGATTTCCAACTGGTGGTCAGGACACCAAACTGGCTCTGGAAGCCTCCCTATACAAACCTCGAACAAAGTGATGGTACCAAATGAAAGATGGAGTCTCTACGAGTATTTTGGTATGCACCATATGTTAAGATTCAGTTTTTTTGTAGAACAAAGTTGCTGAATTTCTGATTTCCAACTGGTGGTCAGGACACCAAACTGGCTCTGGAAGCCTCCCTATACAAACCTCGAACAAAGTGATGGTAACAAATGAAAGAGGTCAGAAATTTTCAAAATGTAAAATAATATACATTACTTTGCACTTTTTGCCATATAACACAATTCACCCATGCATTTTAAAGGGGGAAACTTTCATTAATATTTAAAAACTGAATATTAGCAAATTAAATTTATGAAAAAAATTGGAATCATATGTCAGCATGAGACTACCTTGCGTAATTATGCCATGGATTTAGCATAACTTAAATCACTTTGTACACATAATAAAATTAATTTTAAAATTAAATCACATTTTAATGCTTAGGTTTAAACTACAATTCAAATAGAAAGAGAATTGCAGTATTTTTGCGATGGAAGCCATGGCCCAAATATCAGACAATTCAGGTTAATTTCTGAAAATGTACAAAAAGGTTTGCTGTGGTGATTTCATATTAACAAGTAATAAGTAGTGGAGAGGGGGGCACCTCTGAACACTTTTTTCTTTGAAGCCTCATAACATTTTTTATGTTATAATTTTTGGTTTCTTATAAGTTTTAACTAAGAGGTACGTATGTAACCTTCAAAATGAATATACATATGACATACTTTAAGCTTGATATACATATTTTATTACTGTTTTAATGGACGAAGTCAAGGTGTTCAAAACTGCCCCCCAGGGGGCACCTTTAAACACAGCTCGGTAATTTTGAACGGCATGGTTTTTTACAGTGTTTATGTTCAAATATGTATGTATTGTATTCATATATATATCAGAAATATATTAATTTATTAAAAAATATATACAAAAATATTCGATAATTAAATAGTTCTGATCAAAATTTATTAAAACATAAAATGACATAAAAACAAAAATTTATATGGTGCAAAATACATCTAATTTCGTAATCTTTTTATCCCATTTGAAATTTTTAAGAAATCGAAGCCAAATGTCAAAAACTCCGTTTTTTACTGGAGTTTACTGGGTATGTTCAAAGGTGCCCCACCTGTGGTATTTTACGGAAATTTGTAATAACTTTTTTTGTAGTAAATATATATGAAAGAAAATATATTAGATATGTTTGAAATGATTGTTGGAATGCACAAAAAAAATTGTTTATCGAA